TCTCAATTGATATAATTTATTTACAACAATTAATAAATTTATCTTATTACTTTTCACATAAGAAAGTATTCTTACATTTAAATTCTTTTTTGAGAAATATTTGCTGTTCAAGATATATTTTTATAGAGAGAAACTGATTTTCTGAGTTCATAATTTCTTTTTTATAAATTGATTCTAATAATAAACTTACTTTTTGGTATATATCTCTAAATTAATAAGTTTTTATTATAGAGTTTTTTATATACTTCTGTATTTCATAAATATTATTTTGCATTGTTTTTAATTCATTTCTTTGCTTTATTAGAGAATATTATTTGTCGATGTATTGGATGTTCATGTGATATTTGATGATATATATTAATAATAACTTGTTTTTTATTAAATCTATTAATAATTTTATATTTTTTGTACAATTATATCTGTTAATAGGAGTATAAGCTTCACTTTGTCTTTTGATTAGTTGATAATCTGATCTTTTTCATGCTCAATCATCTTGCATTAATTGCTTTTGCTTCTTACTCAAATATATATTATGTATTTTCTAATAATAGCCTCAATAGTTTGTTAATCAGCTAAAACAATTTCTAAAAGTTCTTGATCAAGCTTAACTTCAAAGATAAGATTTACAGCTTCATTGGATACTATTGCTTCTTCAAATTCTTTGAAAATAATATCATCTATTTTATTTAATTCATATAGAAGTGCCTCAGAATTATCTTTATTTTGAGTATCTTGTTCATTAATAGCTTCACTAGATAATGAATCTAGAACTGACTCTCAGATGAATTCAGTATTTTCAAAAAATAGTTCAAGATTTGCCAACTCACTATTGATACATGATATACTTGATTCGCTGCTGCTACAAGATTTATGAGGTAAATTTATACTTTTCTCTTGATTATTGTCAACTTTAATCACTGCATATAATATTGTATCTTTTGCTTTTTGTTTATTTTTTAATCTTTCTAAACAATGATTGCAAGTAGTATGCTCGTATAGTGGATTATTACTATCTCTTGGTCAGCAGCAATTGATGCTTTGCTTTATCATGTGACAATCACTACATGTTTTTTCAAGCAAGTTACTTTCGCTCATTTTTTTGTTTGTGTTTATAGTTGGGTTAATTGGATCTTTTTCTTTTGTCAGTTGGGTCAATTGGATCTTTTTATTTGTCAGTTGGATCAATTGGATAAAATTGTGAAATAGGGATTAAGGTGTATGAAATAGAATTTGAGATCTTTAAGTTTAACGAATAATTAATGTTTCAAATATTTTATTATTACAATATAATGATTTGGGATTAATGCTACAATATAATTTGTTTTAAAGATCAAATTTCATTGTTCTTTATATCTTTAAATTTAATATGGTTAAAGTAATCAAGATCAAGTTAATCACGGTCGATGTTGATTTTTTTTAAGTCTCTTGAATCCGGCGCGTCTTTTTGATGCGACCGAAATTTCGGTCGAAATAATTATATACGACGCAAGGTTCGGATATTCGGGTGGTTCGGATTCACGTGATCCGAACATTTTTTTGCCGTGGCTGAATCCACCAGGGCGACCCCTAAAAGTTCGGGCCACGTGACTTGTCGATCGACGCCGGCTACTCCGACCCACTTTA